TGGTTACAAATACCGATATGACCATCATTTATCCACGTCTGGCCCTTCATAGAAGTTTGGACGTTATGTTTTGCAAAATACTTTTCTGGCAACGCCTCGGGGGCATTTCTTAACAAGCTTACAATGTGGCAAGACAAGAGTGAATACTAGTATGCCATTGTAGCTGACAGGGAAGGGGAATGGTTTCCTGTTGTGCAAAGGATGATTTCCGTACTTCTTTAAAGGCCACTCTCATTGTTAAGTTTTACAATTTGATAAAAATACTCCAAACATTGAAGACTAGTGTGGACTGAAACCACTTCAGACAAGACAAACACGTCGACGTGGCCACTACGACGACATGGGCGTACATGTCTTTGACAGTCAAATCCCATCTGATACACGGCCACAAATGAGGCAGAAAGAACGACTATTGTCGTCTCTACACAAGACTCACAAAAGTTTTCTTTGCGTACTTACTGCACTTCAGTGTGGTAATGGATTTCATTGATATCTGATGTGTATTTAGATCTGGCTCACTGGATTTCAATTCTTTGTGTGGAATGTTCAAATAAGTCCTATCGAACGCTTTCGCCTGCCTCGGTAAAAGAACTACAAGTTGAATAGGTTCAACTGCGACCTGTTAAAAATTTGACTATAGCTCCTGGATAATAGGGAACTGTTTTATTTTTGCGTTATCGAGAGGCTAGAAGGGTCCCAAGGGACATATCTGAATGTGTACGCAAGATTGTAATTAAAGTTTCAAAGTATGTACCATGTACAATATACATGTAATATGTCAACGCCAGAGAGAGAAATGCGCTGACTAACGTGTTGATGAATATGACAGCATCAGCGATGTGTACGTGTCGACTTCATTATGACCATTGCAAAGGATCTCTATCTAACCCTGTATTTATTTACGGTATAACGGCCTCTCTCGGACGTAACGGATCAGATTCACAAGCACAGGTCAGAAATCAATGCTGGAAGGTATGTGCTGATCTAATCAGTGTTGAGGCAGCTTATGTACGTCAGCAGGACTCTTAATGATGCCCCAAGGATCCGGAGAACCTTGGGTACGTTATCAAAGAACCCCTGACATTTGTCGATAAGTTGGGCTCCGCCCGATGTGCTCCATTTAAACCATCGGCACCATCACATGCAATTGTCATCTCTCGTTTTAGGGTATGGTGTGATATGGTGTGGGCGTAGCCCAGCCCAGTGCAGTATGATATTATAGTGTGGTGTGATATTTTGGGATGCGGTGTGGTGTGTGATGTTGTATGCCATATGGTGTGATGCGGTAGGGTATTTTCGCACGAGGGAAGGAAAAATCTGACATGAAGGTTTTCCGAGTGTAGGTACTTCGACAGAAAAGGTATTAAAACAGTCCATTAACATATTCGTTCCGAAGATGTCATCAGTTAGATTTTAGCTTCCTTCACACCGACAAGCAAGTGGTATTTTATTACATTGTATTATTTTTTGCCTGTAATCGGCCATTACTGTGTCATCGGATGAATGTAGCCTCACCAGGCTTTCCTAAAGAGCTAATGGATACAATGGAGTAGAATTCGGCAAAAAGGACACTAAATCCGCGATAAAGGCATCATAAATTGCACTGGAAACTGTACGGTGGACAAGCTCCCCTAGAAAATTATCCTCACCATTTGGCTGAATTTCACTATTTTTCAGCCAATTCAACGTCGTTAGTCTGGTGGAGACTAGGATAAATGGCATGATCAGCTTACAGACATTTTGCTGTGTTCCTTTGTGTGGTACGCAGCATGATGAAGCACTTAAAAGCCTCCCGTGTAAATGCTCCTAAATCCTTACTTACCGGGGTGTTTTCTAATCTGGCCTGCATTGGAAGTGTTTCATTCATGAAGTATTCATGGAAAAGAAAATATGAAAAAAAACATCAAAGTGTGCAAGTGAAATAATATCATCATAAGAACATATACTATTCGTCATACTATTTATCATCATCATTCCAGGGTGATCTTCGTAAGTCCAAGGAGGACCCCCCCCCCATGCACTCCATCTCTCTCTGTCTCGTGCCAGGTACTAGTAGTAGTAACGTTATTTCCAGGCGCGATGCAAGCTCGCGTTTGACAGATTACCAACCACCCACACTCGTACAATTACGTGTCGAAATTGTGACTCGGGTCACATCCTCTCGACTGTGGAAAATGGCATGGATCTTTATACCGAGATCTGTTATTATGGCGAATGAAGCAGCAATTTTGAACGGCGTCGGTTTTAGTAAAAAAAAAAGCAACTTGTATCTGCTTTGAAATAAATTACCACGTGTTTCTTTACTTTGCATTCTCCTTTATTTCACCTGCCCAGTTTTAGATATTGTGATGAATTGGCTTGCTGTAAAGTGACACTTCTATTTAGGTATTCTTTACAAGTAGTCTTTGACCCAGCAAGGGACTAAAACAATCAGCTAGTCTCTTCTATTTACTCTGAAGACCTCCATCGCATAGCAAAAACACAGCTCTTTACATGTGCCATTGACCTTGTCCTTGGTTTGATGCAAACCATTCACTCGAGAGTTCTAGAATTGCGCGCTAACATAATCCAGCTGAAACCCAACACATTGTACACCTACTTTGGCTGATCCTGCGTACTGCGTCAGTGTTGCAGTGTGCCTTGCAGTGCGCAAAAGAATGTTCTAACATTTGTAGCTCATTTATGCTTCATCCCACCATCTTATCCTTCACAAAGGATGCCGAAGATGCTGTGTTCATTTCCAGGTATAGTATATGTATAGTTAGTAAATATCTATATGCAGAGATAAAACAGCTGCGCAGTTGGTGTCTCTCTCTATATATATAACAATGACTATTGTTATACATGGCCACCAGGACGAAATCATTGCTCTCAAAATGCGTAGACCTCATACATGCCATGAGCCATGTCAGCAAATATCAAACTTCAGAAATGGCTGCGCAATGCATTATTTAGACGGATGGAATGCTTTGCCATGCAATATCTAGCAGAAGAGAAACCAAAGCGTTTTTCCAATACGTAACTTGAATTCGGAAGTCTGAAAACGTCTGTAAAAGAACTTGATAGTTTGTAGTTGGCGATGTAGGTTCACTATAAATACTAGTGATTCCACCCCCCTTTGTTCGAAGGGATTGCGCACGTTTTGGCAAACCTGGAAGGCCGGTGAAGACCGGTGATAGCGACACCCTGCCTCCTTCAATCCAACCTAAAGCTTAGCTTCCGTTTCCCCCCGTCCAGCCAGTTCCACAGTTGGCAATGTGTGGTCACGGAGATCCAGTACTACTGCATGCCATCAGGTCTGATAAGGGAATTTTTCAAACGCTGTTCGCGGGCGGTTTGTCTTTTATCTTCAGGTTTGATGTAGAACGTTGTGACAATGTCAAGGTCGTATTTGCGGTACAATACCTGATCAGTTGACCATTATTACAAATTATACACGAAGAATAGGCTTCCCTATTACATGTATTTCGAATTTTGATGCTTTTTCATAATTTGTGTGCAAAGTCATACCCAGCGGTATGTAAACCGTTACGATGTTTATACTCGGTACTGTACACCTAGCTGCTTTGTTACGCGGTTATACCGGCTATACCTATTAAGGGTTAGGATTTTTTAATTGCAGAGCCGCTGCTAAAGATTTAAAAAAATAGAACCTAAGAATTATTTCCAATAATCGATACGCAGTTTTAAATTTTGTATGGGAGAAGCATTCAGTTTACCTGTGCATATTCATAATCTCGCTGGAGTGATGGGGAACAGGGGAATAGTTTTGTAGGCCAAGCGCAAAAGCCTCAAGGTGAGTTTTTCAGCGCCTTCCGGAGAGCTTTCTATTCCCCGGGATCTCACGTGTTCTGCCAAGGTGGCAAGGCTGGTGCGTTTCCGCTGGGTGCAGGTGTACTGCGCGGCTGCCAAGTGCTGCAGGTGCGCTGTGAACCCGAGCTCACACCAGATGTCGGCTTGGCTAGCTCAGAGGCACTGACGTACGTGGACGTACATGGACTCCCACAGCATTTCAGGGACGAACGCAAACTTAATGCAAAAGTTTGTGTGATGTTTGTTTTTTCGCTGCTTCTACTTCTGATTTGATTATTTGGACTGGGTTTTGGTGAACACGTCTGATAGATTGAGCCCTGTCATCATGGAGTGCCAATTTCATCCGTTGGGAAAAAAGAAGGTCGCTATATTCACGCAAGCTCGCTCGTTCGAGCTCACTCACTCAGTTTGCTCGGGGGAGCACGTTGCCTGGCGCTCCTCATCTAAAATTACATATACTGGCCTGCATCCCTGTTGTAGGTAATGCTCTGATAAGTCATATTCAGCCTGAGTTGGCCGAACCTGGCCGACAGCAGGCTGCATATCGTCGTTTGAATTGATTTCGCACGGAGACTTAACACAAAGTGTACGAGGGGTGGGTGAAGCACAGACTCTTTATGTTCTCCAAATACCACTAGGCATTACACAAATTAAAGCACGCAATACGGTGATAGATTATCCAACAGAAAATATCTGATTTATGTAGATGGGGTCACCAGACGTACATTGTTAACAAATTATTCCTTGTCTAGTGCGATGGCTGTTCCATAGTCCTGGGCCTGTAATTCAATTTGATGGCCACATGTATTGAACGGGCACACGCACACTTGCACCGTGCATGTGTCTCCCGTCTTCGTGTGTGATAATTTATGTCCACAGTTATAATGAAGATGTCACCGTGCTAAGAGGGCGGGTCTGGGGATATATGTATGGGCCTAATCGGGGGCAGGCAAGTGTGGCGAGCTGTCCCAACACTTGCCCTACCGGGCGAACCTTCCGTAAGGGTGACAGTAGTCATTTATATTTCATGACGAAGGTTGATATGTGTGCACAGGAACACTTGTCATGGTGATTATGTTTTGCCAACGCCAAGACATGATTCTTAAATTCTGCGGGCTGGGAAAGCGCGTTTATTGAGGCCGAGAACACGAGGAAGGTAGGAATACCCTACCGCGCTCGGTCGCTTTTGACGTCACCTGCTTAGATACAACTCGGGTGGGTTACACGCCGAGACAAAGGTACACGGTTGCTAGGTGACTCTAATTGCTGCTTATTTGCACAGACTTCATTGAAGGGTGATTATATTCGGATGTGAACGCCGTGCGTAGTGGGCCACAGAACGCTGCGACCAGTTAGAGATTGACGTGTTGAGAAGAGGCCATCCTGCTAGCATTATTGCAGAAGTACGATCGCCTTGTGCAGTGACGGAAGACGCGGACTGTGTACGGCGGGGTTTGTCTGCACGGCGTGCTGCATGGTGGAGCGTGACTGGCACCGCGACATGGGAAAGGTGCGCTGGGCGTAACTTCATGGCAGAGGGAACAACCTAGACTGTTGGTAGCAACAGGACAGTGTCAGATCGATCCTAGAACTGCAGAGTCTACAAAGTGACCTGTAGTCTCTCTCGCTCACGAAGCTGCGTGCCGAGAGCCTGTGTTGTACCTGTCACTGCGGTCGCGCCGTGGGAGTAGGAGGGGCAAACAGAGCAGGTGAGCCGGACAGGTTGCTCAGCACGAACTTACGCCACTGTAGTGGGCAATACCTCACACACACAGCAGAGAAACGTCCCTTCCTGAGACGTCATTACAAACGATACGTTTGTACAGTGTTTAGGAGAAGGAGTGGGCTGTATTAGAGCTTTAACAGAACAGATTTTTTCAATCGGTAGCTGATCCTTGTGCCTGAGCTTTTGGCGGCCCAGTGCACGGTGCCCACTGCCAGTAACATGTTCAGCTTTACAGTCATGTCGTCTGCATTTATATATCCAATATCTCCAACAGTACGTGCATGCCCGCCCAGTGTCCTCTTAAACATCACGCTTCCGGGTCAAATATTACAGGCACATCATTTTAGTAGATTGTTCGGAAAATCATTGGAACAGAGCCGGTTTTTATTACCGTGCACACCGGTGCGTCAGCTGCGATGTTGGCGGTGGGACCTCCCGATGGTTTACAATGGTAATGGTTTTAGCGGTTTCTTGTGTAAAGAACCTTTGTCTTCTTGTGGCCATCAAATACACGATTGGAAAATTGGACAGAGACCGAGCTGTTGACCTTCTGGATACCATATCATCCTTCATAGCAATTCTCTTTAAATGTCCGGTGAAATATATGACCCTCTCTACTCCATCACCAACCTTGCAAAGAAATCTAAAAAAACATTAGGTGACAGTAGGGATAAACCAATTACAGCATTAGACTTTCATAAGCTCAGTTTGGGGTGTACACTTATGCAAGTCATAATTTTGTGATACACAAATGAAATGGACGGATATGTCCGTAATGCCTGCGAAGTGGTCATGTTTGGCATTTAAAAAGCATAGATAACCATACATATTTGCATTTATTCGTTCCTGATGTCATCTTAACAAAATGATGATGTTTTTGGTCGAAAATTTGGCTAGCGACGTGCATTTCCCTGCTAGCATTCCTCCCACCGCTTCGCCACAGTATTGTTGTGCAGATGGAAACATCAATTGACTGCGGCAGAAACCTTCTCTCCCGTTCAACCTCACAC